CACAAGGCAAGGACAGCACAACCCCCACTGATAGAGCTTAACACAATCTGGACAGGGTTCTTCCTTCTTCCAACTCCCTCTTGTGTTTGGCAATCAGGGAAGAGATGGCCCAAAAAACATAGGCAACAGCTACTGCAAGTACTTGAATAAGGATTTATGGATTCCTGAAGTGAGGTGTGAAAAAGAAAAGACTGATTTTTATCCCTAACTTCCTACTGATCTCTTAAGCTCCTTTGTTCTGAGGCTCTCAGAAGTGCTTGATGTCACTGGAGTCAAACTTCTCTTTCCTCTGCTTTTGCTCCCTGTCCTGTAACATGGGGAAAATGGCTTTAGCTGGGTTCTTTTGACTCTCTTGGATCACAGAGGTCATGGTTGTTGCAGACTCCCAGAAGAACCTGTGTCTGTGGGTCCATCAGCCCAGAAAATAAAGCTGCAGTGGCCAGCTGCAAGTCATTGATGAGCTCTTGGCTACGTAGCAGAAACCACTGTGACTTGTTAAATATACTGAAGGTTGTGAAATAAACAGGTTTGACAGCTGCTCACCCCAGACTGGGCTGTTCTTGTCTCAGTTCAAGAATCTCTGCTTAAGAATATCAAATTGTCTAATCCAAGCTAAGCAAGAAGCCCAGGAATGTTTCTAGAAGCATCTTTGATTTAAAAAACTAGATGTCATTCTGTAAGCTTTCTCATGTGTGTGTTTTCTGTTTTTTAATATTCCCTTCCCATAAATCAAGTCATTCCACTTCTATAAGTAAATTTCCTTCTGACATCAAAATTGAGGAACAAGTGAAAACACATAATTTTTGGTGATTCTTTCCACTCCTTCTGTTTGTGGTTCAAGTCTTGGCTATGTATTGAAGACTATATATTATTATTTTTTAATTGAAACTGTTTCTTTCATCATAGAGAGGATCATTGTTTTGTTACTTTAAATAACAGAAACACCTTGGTTATAAAAGCTGAAGAAAGAGGGGCTTAGAAATTCTAAGTATTTGATACTGTTTAATGAGTCTATCTACTAAAACCAGGCTTTGTAAAGAAGAGTAGTAACTCATTCTGTAGTACTCCTAGTCAACAGCAAAAGCCATAAAGGTTTTTTTTTTTAACTGAAATGATTAATGGGTGCATATCTAAAGTTCTGCAAATTTTTGTAATGCTCAGCAGAATCTAAAATTTTTTGAGAATATCTTGTGTTCCTGCTTGTGAAAATAGCTGTTCCTTTAATCTGTTTTGTTTGCTCCCTTGCCAGCCAAGCTAAAAAAGTGAGCAGCACCATCAAGCTATGCTAATAACATTGTGAGCCGTTTTCATCCTTCAGTGTCCCAGAGGGCTGATTCCTTGTCTGCCATCATCCCTGCATGAGGTGAATGTGTGCATGTGTGAGGAATGCAGGACTGGGCACAAATCCTGTACCCTCTGAAGACACTCTGTCCAAAACAAACACTCAGTTCCCAGTCAGTGTAATTTAGTTGATAAATATCTTAACAGCTTTCTGGGGAGGAACCTCTGCTTGTTTTCTGCAATGTACCAAAAGCATTTTTAGTGATCCTGAAGTCCTTGAACACATTTATTGCTGTTTGTGCATTGATGGTGCCAAACCATGTAGAGGCTTTATTGTTTGCTTCCCCAAAAATGTGGTGTTCTAGAGTGCTCAGAGACTGGGCCTTTTGTTTAATATTTCATGGGGATTAAAGAGAAGAACAACAGATAAAACCAGTGTCCATGAAATGAAAATAAGCATTCTAATATTTATTGGTGTCAAAGACAGGAGACTTTATTGTTCCTGGTTGGCATTGCTGATAGTTGTCCCTGTTATATGTCCATGTGTAAGTCCTTGGGCGTTTTCTATTCATATCTTCATCCTGATCACAAGTTCTCAAGATACAAACTCAAATCCAAAAGGAAATGTTTTAATGAGTGTGTGAAGTAGAACACAGATTGCAGAGGCTGTGCAGCCTTGGTGTGAAGAGGAGAAGCAGCAACATCACACCGTTTGTTTAGCTCTCTTGTGAAGCTGTTGTCTTCAGAAAAACTCAGAACTGAACAAATGTATGGATGTGATTTTTTAAAATACAAACATTTGTCATCATTAGTTTCTCTATGTAGCATATCTGCATACATAATACACATGCAAATCCAAAATTGCCTATTTAAGGCTCCTAATTTAAGAAAACACAGGGCCATCTGTTTTGACCCTGATTTGAAGGTGAGTTAAGCAGGTGCTTTGGTGCTTTGCTCATTTGGAGAAAGCCACATGTAATGTGTTGGCCAGTGAAAAAAGTACAGAATGGTGTCCTGCTTCCACAGTCAGCTGTCCTTACAGTAAGGCCAGTGGGGAAGAGTTGGACTTGGAAAGAAATGGATCTCCTGAAATGATGTGGTTTGTGTGCCATGAAGAGCTCTCTAATGCCAGCTGTGGTGTTGGGGTGTCCCTCTGTGCTATTGAATGAGTTTTGTACCTTTGGTGAAGTCACAGAAATTGCTACATATATTTAATAACTAGCCAGCTAAAGTGAAAAAAATAATGTGTTTTTATGTTTTTCAATTTTATAGTGCAAGGTAATTTTTTCTCAAGTCACATTTCAAAATCTTTATTTCAAGATGTGAAATAAATTCATTAAATCCACCTTTATAACAATGTGCCTTTGTGATGACAATGCTCTGACATTAGTGGTCTGCACAAAACCCAAAAGAATTCCTTGAGGCAGAGTTGGGCAAATGGCTTTTTTCCCTTCCTCAAGAATCAGATGGAAATGTGTGACCCAACATTGCCATTGGTGGCAGAGTGGCTGCTGTTTGTGGGGGAAGGATGACAGATGTGTTTGGAAGGAAGTTTGGGATCTGTGTGTATTAAATCTGTCCGGAGATGGGAGAGGAGGCAGGATATGGACTGAGTCCAGCTCTGCCCTTGACTTGTCCCGTACAGCCCCCTTTGAATTCAGAAGGAATTATCTCCAAATAAATATAAGGCTGGATGTGCATGAGTGAGTGAGAATGCAATCACCTGATGTGGGATTCCCATAGTGAGGTGTTGACTCATCTTTTTATGTATGGAAAGCTATTTTGCAGCCTTAGAAACCGTGCTTTCACTTGGGGAAGGCATTGAAGCACTTGCATGAAGTGCTTTTCCAAGGAGGGATTTTTTCCATATTCAAGCCCTGTGCAAACTTGAAGTGTCTTTGATTTAGGGAAGGGGGGAGTGAAGTAGTTTCAGGTGCTACTGTCTGAATAATATCCTGCACATGGAGCCCCTGTTCTGTTGGTCCTTAGGCAATACTGTGATAAAAAAAACAATACAAACACCTGCACTTGGATCCACCTGCTGAGTTCTGTAGCTTTACTCCCCATTCTATAACTTAGGAAAAAGGAGGCAGGGACGTTTCTGTGCTTTGGCTGCTGTGTTGAGAGAGACACAAACAGCAGGAGCTGCCAGAATAGAGACAGTGAAGCTGTCCTTGTGCTGGGCTCCTGCATGCACAGACAGGTTGGGGGAGGAAGGAGAAATCCCTTTCCCTGCCTTGCCTGCTCTATTGCATTTGCTCTTGCTCCTCCTGTAGTGGGGACATAAATTGCTTTAATTATGTACATTATATTAATTTCTCATTATTTTATTGAGTTCATGTCCTAGCAGCTTCTAAATTTCAGGCTTAGTGTGCTAATGAAGTTTAATTGTTCCCTACCAGATTATTTGTATTTAGAAATATACTTTGTTTTCTAACTAAAGGAATTCTGGAGCAGGAAAATGCGCAAGTAAATTCAAGGTTTGCTCTTTAACATTGGCAGCTGCTGTGCAAGATACAGGCTGAAACTGTAGTTCTCCATGTGTTAACAAGAACAACAACAAAAAATTACCTTTTTTTTTTTAATTGTGTGATACAATATTGTTTGTTTTGCACTTTCTAATCTTGAAAACAGAAGCTGGGTAAAACTGGTTGGCTCTCCTCATCTCTGCCTCTGTAAGGACTGGAACCAGTTTAGTTGGGGATAGGTCAGCAGTGTGAAAGTTTTGTTTAAGGTCTTTCTCAACCATGTCAGTGCTGTTTCTCTTAGCTTGTTTAGCTTTTGTGCTGGGTTTGTGAAGGTAAAACATGGCTTAGCCCTTAATGTACAACTGTTTTGGCTTCAGTGTAGCAAAGCTATAAATAGGCTCCCCTTTGCCTCCCCAGCAGTAGGAAATGACTGCAGCAGGTGTTGTTCTCCGCTAGAAATTTGCACATTATTACCACCCAAGTACTTTTTTCTTAAAATCAGCTTTCTTGTTACGTGTTCTTCCTTTACTAAATGCCAACTGACTGGTCAGCAAGTATCTTGTTAAAATCTGAAGTCTTCATTAGGTAAAAAAAAAATAAAACCAGAAAGGTATTTTTGGTTCATTTCTGTGCAGCCTCTGTGTAAAGTTTATTTTATATGCAATTTAAAAAGTATTACCAGAAGGCACAGGAGGGCTGCATAAAGCTGGTTGCTGACTGAAATGGTTTTGATTCTTTTAGCTTGGCTGGGCTGGAATTTAACTCAAGTTTGTTGTAGCAGTTCCTCTGTGATAGGACTGGCAGATGCTTGGAAGTCTGCAGGCAAGATTTGTGTCCATGCTTGGATTGAGTTCTCCTTGCACTGCAGCTTCAAGAAAATAAACAGGGTTTTTTTGTGCAGTGAGGTGGTGTTTGGAGTAAATAAGGATCGTGCAGTCTGGTCCATTGAAATGGGTTTGCTGGTGTCAATAATAGCTTCCCCTCGATCCAGACCCCATAACTTTGTTTGGATTGATGCTTGGTCCCAGCAAAGAGCTGGAGATGTTTGGGCAGGGAGAATCCATGTGTTAGTGCTGCTGAGCCTGTTCTGCTCGGGCAGGGTGGAGAGCCCTGGCCTCCTGCCTCTGGTGGGTGCTGCAGAAAGGATGAAATCAGGGCAGATGTGCTGTGAAACAGCAAAAAGGGGGACACTCCTGTATTTCAGTTCTGTTTAACATCTGTGTCCCTTGCACCCCTTCCTTTCTCCCACAGATGTGAGAGTTGTGTGGAGCTGCTGTTTGTGAGAGGGGCTGGGAACTGCCACGAGTGTGACACCCCCCTGAGGAAGAGCAACTTCAGGGTACAGCTCTTTGAGGATCCTGCTGTCGACAAGGAAGTGGAGATCCGGAAGAAAGTGCTGAAAATGTGAGAGTCACCATTTAAAATAACAGAAAGTGGATGTATTTCATGCATCAAAATTTTTAAGAATTGACTTGTTCAGTAGTACAGAAGAGATTTTTCTCTTTTTTTAAAGCGGCAAACTATAAAACTTGACTCCATTTATCATGGAGGGATTTCAGAGAATCTGATTTTGTGCAACAATTGAGAGCTGAATTCTCAATTTAGCCTTGAGGGATTCCTGCTTAGCATTAGAAAATGTTGAGTGTTTCTATGTGGCCTTCTTTGGCAAAGACTTGGCTCCAAAATGGAGATGATTAGATATTGAGGGGTGAACATGGCAGTAGAGCAAGAAACAGGACCTTGATTGTTTTGTTCCCTGGGGACCTGTTCTGAGAGTTGAAGGCCAGTTCCCTTCAAAATCAGAATGGGGAAAAAAAGAGTTCACATTGTTTTTTGCTTCACACAGCAATTGTTAGTGGAAATGGTTCCTTACAAGCCTGGTGTTACCAGTCTGTCATGCAGATTTGAAAGCTCTTGAAATTGAGATAAATGAGGTCTAAAATTGCATCTCACTCCTTGTGGCCAGTAAGCAGCATTTTATAAGGAAAACATGGGAGCCAGTTTTGGTGTTTTAATAGAAGAAAATCTGATAAATGTAACAACCCAGACAGAGCTCTGTGTGCCTAAGTGAACTTACAGGTAAATTAAAAGCTTGTCAGCCTTTATCTAAAACTTGGTACAATAGCAAATGAATCATATGATGTTGCTGAGAAGCTGTGCTGGGGAAACTGTGCCACTGAATACCAAGCATGGAGAGCAGTAATAATTTTGATGTTGGATTTCAAAGTCTACTGAAGTTAACAGAAGTCAAACTGGAATAAGTCAATTAAACATGGAATAAAGTTTATTTAGAAAACGCTGGAGAACACTTGGCCCACTTGGGTTTGCCAGATTAGTTTTTAGGAGGAAAAAAAATGTCTCCAAATTGGAATATGGTCTCTATTCTCGGGTTTGCCAGATTAGTTTTTAGGAGGAAGAAAAAATGTCCCCAAATTGGAATATGGCCTCTATTCTTGGGATTTTTATATTCCTGGGTGTCATGCTCCACAGATCAGACAGAGTCTCAGCTTTATATGTTCTTGAGAAGAAAGTCTGCCTGTCTTGACTTTCAAAAGCTGTCCATGTTCTAAGCCAGTTGTCCCTTCATCTTTTTACTTTCTCCAGCTCTGGAGAGGTGAATATGAGTGCTGGAATGGTCTATTGATATGAAATGAGATAATTGTGTAGCATTTTCAGTTTGCTGCTGACATATGCTTTCTGTTGTTGGCACAAAGCCAAACTCTCTTTTCTGATTGTTCTAGAAAAGCTTTTTTTCTGTGGGTGTTACTGTTGTCTCTGCCTTTGTTAAGAGGCTGGCTGGGAGTTACTGTGTCTTGGCCTCTGTGCTCATGTTTACCTGTAACCCTGGAAAAGGAATTGGCAAACAATAGGCAAAGATAGCACAGATTTCTTCCAGGCTGCCTCCTTTCCTTTGGAGCAGGCACTTCTGTCTCCCGTTAAAGATTCTGGTCAGTTTGGGAGTCACAAAGCACACAGTAGATAAAACTAGATCAGTGCTTAATCAGCTTGCAGCAAAAGCCTTGTTGAATGGAAATTGCATCTTTCTATGTTTTTTTTTCTCTTCTCTCTAAGATACAATAAAAGAGAGGAAGATTTTCCCACTCTAGATGAATATAATGATTTCTTGGAAGAAATAGAAGAAATTGGTAAGTCTTAATGCTTGCATTTTTGATGTGCTGTGCTTATGAGACCATAGGCTTTTATCTTCTGACTCAGCTGCCTATGAGAATGTCTAAGTTCAGGTTCTGTAATATGATTTATCACAATATCAGATTTTTATCTAATTACTTTTTTTCTGGATTTAATCATATTTGCTGAACTGTAGGACATTGTTAAGTAAAACATTTTATCTGCCAGAGAAAAAAACACAATCCAAAGAGGAAGCAAGCTGGAAAAGAAAGGCTTGCAGGGGACTGTCAATGCTGCACTGGCAAAGATTAAACAAAGAGAGGAGAAATTGAAATTTTCATTATATCCCTCCATTAGCTTTATCTACCATGACAGAAGCCATATGGTGTCTTTCATCATTTTTGCTTCTGCAAGTACAGTAGTTGAAGCTGCTTTGAAGCTGATGACCTTACATACCAGTGTGGTAGCATTTTATGTTGCTGTGCAGAAGGAGAAGGTTTAGGAACAGACGTTGATTTCTTTCTCTTCGGATTAGCTGAAGCAGAACTTTGCCCTTTGGGGAAGGGACAATGTTATCAACAGAGTTTATTTTCTTCTTAGTTAGGGTGACTTGTGATTTATGGTGGAGTGATGGGTTTTGCTTAGAAAAACAAGGATGTGTTCAAAGGAGTGACTCCTAAATGGTTTGTTCTTGGTTTTTATGAGCTTCTGAGGCTTTTCTTTCTTTTGCCCTGGAGGAAGAAGAGGTGACTTAGAGCATGCAGGAGGGGCAATGAATGTGATTTGAAGGAAACCATGGAGATGACACTTTTCCTTCGTTTTTCTCAAAGGAGCCCTTGCTCCTTTTTGCGCTGTGGTGTTTTGTAGAAATGTATCCAATACACTTAGTGCTGTGAGCAATGTATCATGTTTTTGTTGGCATCAGGAGGCTGAGGCTGGGAAGCCAAATCGTGTGGCTGGGAAACACCAGTCACACTCACATGGTCCAGATATCTGGAGGAGATGATGTGGGTGTAGCTTTGTTTGTATATTTTTTGGAATGGTATGGGGGAAGGAGGGAATGAGTAGAAAGAATGGCCAGAGGATTCTGGAAGAATCTGTGTGCTCATGGGAAGCAAAATTGCTCTTTTTCTTGTAGCATTGAATACAATTTCTCACTTAACTGCTGTTGCAGGACTTTTCAACGTCTGTAACAAGGGAGTTGAAGTTTTGCCTGAAATTGTCTGAACCTCATCAATTTGTGCAGAATGTTAAGATTTTACAGCTCTTGGGATTAGGTGGTTACATTGCAAATGGTTCCAAATCCTGTACTGGGAACTTGGTTTTAGAAGCAGCAGCAACCTGGCTGGCCTTGGTAACCTTATGAAAAAAAGTGATTCGGCCAATAATTGTTTTGGCCCTGCAAATGCATAGTGAAGAAGCTTGATAGAGTTTTTAGGAATTGGAGCTAGTTACCTGAGAGCAACACCTAAAATAAAGGGAATTGGAAGTCCAACTGCATCCTTGTTCATTCATGTGGCAGCCAGGGTGATGAGAGGAAGGAAGGGGTGCAGTTAGAAGATTCTTAATTTTCACTGTCAGCGAGTTAATTTATGATATCCCAACTCCAGACAGATCCCAAAGGACAGGTTAGATTCAACAGCACCACTTTAGGCAAGAGTTCAAGCCCTGTTTGCTCTCCCTGGTGACAAAGCCCATTGCACATTTGTCCCCAAGCCCATCCTTGCTGTGGTCCTGGGCAGAATTCCCCACCTGGCAGTTGTCTGATGTGACATTTTCCAGTGCATGTTGTGAATGGTGTGACTGAACACTGTGTTAAAAGTCATTGACTGTATAATTTCACACTTTACTGCTGAGAGGAGTTATTTCATTTTTGTGTCTCTGAATTCCCTGCTGGCTTGCTCATGTGGAAAACTGGGCTGCAAGATGGAAAAGAAAGGATATGCAGGGCAGCTTTGCCTTGTGGAGCCAACATTCATCAGACTTGCATTAGCTCCTGGTGGTTGGGAAGGTTTCCCCTCTCCCCATGCACCAAACTTTCAGTTTTTCTGTGAGAGGGTCAAAGTGCAGCTTCCCCCTTTTTTTTCCCCCCTCTCTTTGCTGGAAGTTTTTTTTTTTAATTTTTTTAAAATTTTTTTTGAGTTGTTGTAGGGGCTTAAATGAAGTAGTTGCTTAGCACAGACAAAATGTAAACATCCTGTATAGGTGTATTTCATGTGACCCTGGTTCCAGTAGGTTTTCAAATATTCCAGGTAGGTCAGCTCCAAAACTAGCAATGGAATGAGACACAGCAATTGCTGACCTCACTTGAAATACATTTTCCCCCTTCATGTCAGCTGTTTTATACCTACAGACTTTTTCTATTGCAATAGAAGAGCTGGATGTGCAGCAGTAGTGTGTGTGTGTGTGGGAAGGTCAAACAAACATTAGAGTAGTCACCTTTTAAGATTTCTATTATAAAAACCAGGTTTTTGAAGTGGTTTAGAGTGTAGCCACTGAATAATGCTTTGGGCTAAAATGTGTTGAACAAGGCTTTAAATAAAAACCACATTTTAAAGCGAGTTTTCCCCAGAAGAAAAATCGGTTGGACAATTTGAGAGCATTGTAAGCACAGTTTGTTGTCATTAGCACTAGGAATAAAAATTAAGTGAAAGGGTTAAAACCTGCCTTTGGGAAAGGTGTGGAGAACACGTATCTGAGTGAGTCAGGACTGTGCCCGTATGATGAGAGGGACCTGGTTAAACCTTTGAGTGTTGCTCCAAGTTGCATCCTGAGGCCACAATGTGAATTTCGCTTGCTCTTTCTACAAAGTTTTCTTCTTCCCCCTAGTATTTCTTGTATCCCAGAGTATCTCTGGCCATTTTTCCAAGCCCTGTGTGAAAGCTCCTGGAGCAGGACCCGCCTCCCAGCGTGTGCCTGGCACCTTCTCCTGGTACCTGAGGGAGGCCCCCAGGCATTACCGCAGCGCGATTGTTATGGGTAATTGTTGCTTTTTGGAAAAGCATTCGGCTCAGAGGAGGCTGCTGCTATTCGTGTATTCCTGTATCTCCCTGATCCTCCAGGACCTTATGCAATACTGGCTGCCTCTCAGAACACTTATCTGACAAGTGATCCTTGGATAGAAAGGGTTTTGCTATCTGTGATCTCTTGTGGGTTGTGCTGTTTATTGTTTTGTGGTTTGGTTTTTCCCACCTCTGGGTGTGTGTTCTCGAGGATGGTGTTGCTGGTCCTGACAGAGGCAATAACCCAACTGGAAATTGGGTAGCTTTATCAAAGATCTGTTTCAGTTCACATCATCACACTGCTCCAGCCAAAATGGTCTTTCTTAGAGTGATGGGGCTGAGTGATTTCAGTCATTCACTGCTGTTTACAGTTCTTCTGGAAAAGTTATTGACTCAATAAAAGACCCCTGAGGATAAACAGAAATAATCATTGATACCTAACTAGTCTCTGGCTTAACGGTGGGTTTTCTTTTGTTTCTGATAATTACTTTGTTATAATCCCAGAAATGTCGGTTGGAAGGTATCTGTTAAATTATTTTCCATCTTTTCTCCCCCTCACTGCAATCCTACCCCTTTTAAAAGTATAGGGATCAGGCATCAAAAGCACCAAGGGAAGTTGCCACAGTAGCCTGGGACATCCCAGGCAGGCTGAGGATGAGGTTGTGTCTCCCTCTGTAGCACTCTGCCATTCCCAGTCTGGCCTTTCAGGAAAATGATAATTTAGGAGTTGTTTGTAGTAGGATGGGAGGAATATTGTTTATAATGAACTAATGCTAATAATTTTCAGCCTTAGTCTAAAACAGGGAGATTTTGAGGGACTTAGTCTTGCAGTGCAGTGATATTCATTCATACTGCCATGTCTCTGCACAAATTATCGTGCCATTTAATTAATTTTTTTTGTCTTATTTTCTTTTTTATAACTAGGAAAATATTTTTTTCATTTGTTATAGAATTGTATAATGAACGCTGTTGTTTTGAAAAACAGAGAAAGTCCCTGTAGAGGCTGAATTTCAGAACTTGGGAGTTTCACCTAAATAGAATGAAATGTTTCACAAAAACACAATAGTCTTCCTGTTATACTTAACAGATGTCTCAAGGCAAGTCATTTTATAAACCAACCAATGTGAGATGGATAAGTAGATAAATAATTGTTGCATACAAAACAGCTTCTGTTTCTTTTCCCTGAAGGGCTTCAGGCCTCTTATATCGGCTTATGCTATATTTCAACATGGACAAAAATAAGTCTGTCTTCTCTTTGAAACCTTTTCAAACCAGCCATCTGCTTTGCCACTCATATTCAGATCTACACCAATATTTTTTCAGGGTAGGTGTAGCATATGAGTTGGGATTTTTAACTCTTTCTATTTCTTCTAGTTCTATCATTTTTTAAAATTATGAAGTATATTTAAAATAAATTTCTGGCAAAACTCAAAAGTAGGCCAAATAAAAAAAGTGCTGCATAGTCCTAGCTATGTTAAAGTTTGTATGTTGAGTGTTAGCCACTGTGCTGTTTGGTTTTATAGTTGTTGGGTTTTAAATGCCAAGTAACTTGTGCAGGGGACGAGGGACAAGAGAGGGAAATAATATCTTAATTATTTTTTGTGCCCTAGTGCCCCTTGCAAAACAGACTTGTCAGCTGTATTGTGAGGATACAATGGCAAGAATTTGTATTCTATAAATATTGATGAAAAGACGTTTGAAGCTCATGAAAAATTTATTAGAAAATATGTTGAAAGATGTTTTGGCTGGCTGGCTGGCCATTGCTAACCATGCAGTGTCAAGGAGCAGCTTGTTTCGCTGGTAGGTGTTTATTGTAGGAGGGAAGATGCTGTTTTCATGTACTAAAGGTCAGCTGTTGACACTGAAGTTGATGTAGGCAGATCCAGGTTACACCTGTTACACTTTCCATTGTTTTACTTTTTTTTTTTTGGTACACTTTTTTTTTTGCACTCTTTTACCCTGTTTCCACTCTTGCAACAAAATATCTTAAATGTTTCCATTCTTGAAATGTGGACAGGTCGGTGTTGAGGCAGAGATGCTTAGGATCAGGATGATGATCCTTATAATGGCTATAAATCAGTATTCTCTGGGACAAATTTCCTCTGGCCTTTGAGGGGGCTGGAAGTTAGGATCTCTGATTGCTGGTGTCCTTCAATATCCTTGAGTGACAGAGCAGGGTAAGATGGACAGAGCAGAGTCAGCATGGCGTGAGCAGATCTGACTGCTGAGAAGGGTTGTGGCTGTGGTTTGGTTCCAGCCACAGCAGGAAAACAAGGAGGGGATAAACACTTCCACCTTGAGCAGAGCAGTGGGCTTTTAGGGTGAAAATTTCCCAAACATTGATGCAGAAATATATTTTTTAGATAGAAATGTTACTTCCTGTGAAGTACCAAAACACACCCATTTTTGTAAGCAATTCTCAATAAAGGTTGGCATCTGCAAATGTTTAAAACATGCTTGCTTTTCCCAGTATGAGTTTTATATCTTAAGCTTCTTGTTTTACAGACCAAATTGTGACCAGTTGAACCTGTTAAAGATAACTGAGAAAGAAGTAAAAAAACAAACCCTGAAGGTTTCAAGCAGCAATAACTGCAAAACAGAGATCATCAGCTTATGGCTGGATTTATTTTTAGGGAAATATTCATGATGTTCAGGAGCCTGGAGGCAATTTGGCATCTCCTCGTGCACCTGAAGGTGGCATCTGGGCATCCTGCTAGCACAGCATGGCTCATGTGCTATTTCTTTCTTGTGTCGTCACTGAAGAGTTTAGAGAGCTGCTGTGTGGATTGAAGTTGTAGGAAGTGCTGATGTTCCCATGCAGCTGCTGTCACTGCAGAGCCCTGGGCTGATTGTGTGCCAGCATTTTCACATGACAGTTCTTCTCTGCCCTAATACTCAAATATTAAAACTTCTTGTCAGTGGGCAACTGTAGGCTGGAAGTTTGGGTGTCAGACCACCATTAAAATACTAAATATGGTAGACTAAAATAATGTTTTGCTAAGGAGAGCTTGCTACAACCAAGAAGTGTGTGTTTGTCACAATATGAAGTAGGAAAATGTTATGCCTTTTGGAGAGGAAAAAAACCCCAAAACATTTGGGGTGAGTAGTTTGCTTCCAAAAACCAAGGAGCTGAACTTTGAGTGGCTTGTTTGGGTTATGGCAGTGCCCAGAGGCTCCAGCTGGCATGAGATCAAGGCCACAGGCAGAAGTGCTGCCTGAAGCTATAGCATGGAGATACAGCTGGTGGTGTGTAGGAGAAGGGAACCTTTATTCCCCTTTTTCTGGTTCTTGCCAGTGGCAGACTTCCAGTACAGAGGCCCAGTGGTCTGCCCAGGAACAGTAGCAAAATTTGAAAATTCAACTCAGGTGTTGACTCTGAAATTCTTGAAGCACAAACTCAGCCATCTTAGATCTTCCCTCTGAACTGAGGATGCTGGGGTGGGGCTGGAAGAGTTCAGCTGGTTCAGGAGCCAGACTGAGTTGAAATGTCATTCCTCTTGATACTGCTTATTATTTGGAAAATGGGAAAAATGAATACAGCTTTTTTTTTTGTTTTTTTAGGGTTAGGAAGTTCTTGAACTGTATCTTGGTGAGCCATTTTTTGTTGCAGTTTGAGGAAATTGAGTGTTTTTAATAAGAGTAAGATGATGTGGTGGTTTGGTACTCCTGGATAAGAGAGTATTCCTATTCCCCTCTGTACCCTTTTATTACTTCCCTGGTACCCCCTCTGGCACTTGCCTGACTCCTGTGTTGAGCCAGTTCAAGGTTGCTGGAGGATTTTTGTTGACACTGCAGAGTATCTGAGGGAGTTCTGGAATCAGAGCAGGGGAAAGAGTGAGGCCTGTGCTTGGGGAGAGGGGCATAACAGCAGGAATGCCTCCCTTGGCAGCAGTGACCTGGGCTTGTAGAACTGAGCTGCATCCCACAGCTCCACCATTTTGGATCTTCCTGTTTCTTCTTATCTTCATGGCATTGATTTCTTGGTGTTTCCTTCACTGCTCTCACCTGGTTTGCCAGCCTGGGCTACTTTTGGTTTGGTTTGCCTAGAACCCTCCTAAGTGCTCTTTTCTGCCATGTTACCTGTGGGGAGGATGGAAGAAGGGAATGATGTTCTCCAAACTGAGATGTGTGTTACCCTGATGAGTGACATCAGACTTCACGCTGCTTCCTTCTGTTCCTCTAGCAGCCTCACTGGTACAAATGACTTGGCAGTGGTGCCTGTACCCAGGCTTAGCTTGGCCCTGGTTTCCTAAAAGCCTGGGAAGAGAGAACTGAACCAAAACCTCCCAGGTGCCATGCTGGTGTTTGCACAAGACCCTCCTTCCCTTTAGGGTGTGTCGCAGCACGGTCACTGCGCGGTTGCTTCTTGTGAAGGATTTATCAATGGCAGCACAAATTTCTCTGCTGCTCTTGTAGGCACGTGACAGAGCTCTTGGAGGCTTGGGGTGCTCTGTGCTGGCACTGCTCAGTAGCTCTAAGGCCATGGGCATGAGCCCAGCATCCACTCAGGATGGGGATCACCAAGCAACTTCCCAGTGATAACAGCGGTGTTCAGTTGGAATTCACTTGACCCTCAAGTGAACCAGTGACCTAGAGGTGAAGGACTCAGGCATTGTATCAAATTACAAATCATCCAAACCATCTACATCTTTCAAGCTGTTGATTATAGAAACTGTTCAATTTCTTGAGATACTGTCTGTGCTATGTGTAGATAATTGGGAACGTTGTGCTAAACTATGGAGCTTGCTGGCCAACCCTGCTTGCTCATAATTACATGAGATATAGTCTGTCACCATTGAGAGACATCAAAAGAATGTCAGCTGACCTGTTAATCTGCAAGCATCTGCAGATTCTTCATAATAAAGGTAATTGTACATTGGTGCCTTTTAAGTTATCGGGCAATGTGATTTTTTTTTTTTTTGTGTACCTGAGAATTCAGTTACTTGTGCATTAGATATTCACTGATTTTTTTTTTTTTTTGTGTACCTGAGAATTCAGTTACTGTAGTCCTTGTGCATTAGATATTCAGTGGGAAATGGAATGACTTAATTTCCAACCTTGTCTTCATAAGCCTGTGTTTGGTCTAATTGGATTTTATAGGAATCACCATGTTCTTAGTTACAACTGCTACTTGAAAAGTTCAGTGTTTTATGAATAGTATGATCATTATTCATGTGTATCATTGCAGTGTCACAAAATAGGATGCAAGATTCAAATTTTAATCTCCTACAGATGTGTAAGCTTACAGAAACTCTGCTGGCTTTTGTTGAAGTGCAGTGACTTAGCAGATTGTCTCTGTCTTTATATGGCATGTTTAAATAAGTTCTGTTACTGCAATGTTTATATTTGGCTAGAAGGGATAGAGAGCATAAGAATAGTGTTTCTTTGTCATAGTCATGCATGCTGACCTAATACTTTTGCTTTCTGTCTTTATAATATTTATGCAGTATTCAACTTGACCAACAATGTGGACTTGGAGAACACCAAAAAGAAAATGGAGCTGTATCAAAAGGATAACAAAGAAGTCATTCAGAAGAATAAGTTAAAACTGGTTAGTTAACTTCCCTCCCCTACAATTTTTATTCATTTGTTAAAGAATTAAAGGATTTGTGGAGTACTTTCTTAAAACAAATCAAACTGAAAGCACTATGCAGAGTTCTTTGTATTTAAATATTGAGGTTGATAGTTGAAATGTAGTTCTGCTTTATTTTGGGAAGGGCTTGAGGAGAGGGGCAGGCAGTAGAGCCTGTGTCTAATACATCACCACGGCATGTGTGCTGGCAGTGTCGTTGGACAATGTCCAGGAGAGATGAAGTTCATTCCTACACCAGGACAATCGTTCCTTTCTCATCTGAAGGAAAAAAAGGAATCCAGACTCAGACATTATGAAGCTCCCAGGAGAGGGTTGTAAAACTGAGGCAAAACACAGGCCTGGTTTATGCAAAATTTGAAATGAAAGATGTTGAAACAAACATTAAAACTTTTGTTCAAGAGCTGATAACAGTAACATCAGGGATATTGTATATATAATCTGTATGCAAAACACAGGGTTCTTTGAAGATTCATTCATTAAATTATGGCTCACATATCATTTTGTTCTTTAAAAATAAACTTGCATGCATTTATTCCTGTAAGAAAAGTTTAATCCGTTAAATATTTTTTCAGCATAAAAATACACATTGTTATCAGTTCTTGAAGGAAAATGTCTGCCCAGAGCGTGACATAACAAGGGTTTGTGTTTGTAATCCAGTTGCACTAAGGGCTTGCTTTCAAATCAGTAGGGGTGAAATCCTCACTCCCCTGAAGTCTGTGGCAAAACTCTGGGTGATTTCTTTAGCTCTAGGATTTCACAGGAGGAGATTGGAATCTGAAAAATGTTTGTTTGAACCTCTTCCTTTTAAAGGCAAGGAAATTTCCCTAGGGGTCCATCTCTGATCTGTTATCCTGTCTCTGACACTGTGCAATATCCTCTGCTTCAGAGCTTGAGGAGACCTGCCAAAGCTTTGGCTGTGTGTCTTATTTTACAATGGAGCTGCAGCCTCTGGGGTCACAGTGAGAACAGCTCTGCCTGCAGCCCACCTTCCCTTCGAGGAAGTGGCTCTGACAGCCTGTGCAGGGGCTGTGTGATGCTGTCAAGCAGCTCTGTAGTGCCCTGTACCCTCTCAAGCCCCCAGGACTTCTGTTTGCTGTGCTCCACAGTCCTGCTGTGCTGGAGGCTGGCTGCTGGAAGCTGGGCAAGCCTGTGTGAATCCAGACTCACTGAAGAGCTGGAAACGCTTATCTTTTTTTTTTTTTTCTTTTTTAACATTTGAAACATTCATAATTTCTTTTTCAACAATTGAAACATAATAATAGACTTTACACAGTGGTTATTACAAAAACTGCATGATCCTGCCCATAAATTTCCCCCTCTCCTAAAAGCTGAAGGGTTGCTTTTCCTCTCCAGCTCCTCTTAGCAAGTTTTGGAATGTCTTTTCTCCATGTGTGGTAAAAGGTGTCCTACTTTCTTGCTTAAACTTCTTATGGCCAGTCATGGTCCCTACACTCTTGGCTTAAATTTTTCTGTCCACTGTAATAGGTTGCTTCTGAGGGATATAGATGTTTTCTGTCCCTCTTGTTGTTTTTGTTGCCCTTTGCCTGCTCCAGTGTGATTTGTGTTTGGCAAGCAGAAGGGGCCAGAACTGAATGCAGAGATCTTAATGCCTCTCGTAAAGGAACTCTGTTTTCCCATCTCTGCTGGCAACACATTGATTCTAAGACTGTTCTTCTCTTGTAGTTTAGAAAAAAAAAAAAAAAGTGAAGATCTTGGTGTTCCTGTAATTATAGTTTTTCTTAATATATAGATATTTATATACACTTTTTATTTAGAAAACCTTGCACCCTGAGGGGACTACAGCTTTTCCAGTGTTTCTCTCTTAAATATTTGCACTTATCCAGTCATAGGGTAACTTGTTGCTTCCTGCTTTATCACTGGATGTTTAATTTCACTTGCTGCTTTGTGCAGTCTTGAAATAGTTGTGTCTGGATTCTGTGATGTGAATGTGCATGTTTTCCTGATTATCCTTTCCTGAATGTGGTGAAACGTGATTTTACTTTCTATTTACTTCTTCACTTGGAGGCTTGGGATTACTCTAGGCTTCACTTCATCATCTTTCCCTTCACATATTAGGACTGTGTTTAGATTATCTTTAGTGTGGACACAACCCTTGCTGCCTATTGAACACATCTCTTCTCTTTTACTGTTTAAAGAATTCGATCTGACATGTGATAATTCTTCCATTTTCCTGTAGTCTGCTCTGGTTTAGGTTTGTTTATCAGTTTACTTATTTCAGACTATAATTTTTCTGGGCTGTTTCTTCAGACTAGGTCTGTCAGCACTTCCCTACCAGTTTTCTTCTGTTTCAGTGCAAATTCCAAGCAGTCTTTAGAGATAAATGTGGAAGAGCCTTGGAATGTCTCAAAGACCCCAAGCTTTTCTGTTGACCAAACTAACTAAATCCGTTAATTCTCAGACATAACCTCAGCTAGAAGTTTGGGGATTTTCTTGTTTGTTTTTTTCCTTTCACTAAATGCAGAGAGAGCCCAATTCCAGGTGGTTGCTGATTGGTGACCAGGAAGCAGCTTCTGTTGGCCTGGTGGCAGGTGATGAGATCTCCCAGGAGTAACTGGGACCCACTGGGACCCACTGGCTCAATCTGTCTGTGAAGGGATTTTTTTTTTTTTTTTTTTTTTTTGCATATTCTGGCTTTTATTAGGTAACTGTGCTTTATGATATAGCTTGATGATTAGAATAAACTTTATTATGGTCTTGGCCTCAATAATGATCACAGAAGAAGCTGTGTTGGAAGGGACCCACAAGGATTACTGAGTCCAGCTCCTGGCCCTGCACAGCACCATCCCCAAGAGTCCCTCCCTGTGCCTGAGGGCACTGTCCAAACCCTCCTTGAGCTCTGCCAGGCTTGGGGCTGTGACCACTGCCCTGGGGAGCCTGTTCAGTGCCAGCGACCCTCTGGGTGAAGAGCCTTTTCCTGATATCCAACCTAACCCTCCCCTGACAGAACTTCAGGCCATTCCCTCAGGTCCTGGTCTGGTACCACAGAGAAGAGATCAGTGTCTTCCCCTGTGATGTTCTGCTGAAACTCCTTTCATCAATAAATCATTTAAGTTATAAAATTTTAATTATCTTGCCTTTTTTACTGCATCTCCTTTTGCTTTATTATGTTAGATGGAGAAGATTTGGAAAATGTTTCCTGTATGTTTTTCCTTGTACCTTCTAGCAACCAAACTGACATTCTTTTGATCCACCTTGTTTATATAATTGTTTAGTGCTCTTATTTTCCTCTGTCTCTGAACCCTATTCTGTTTTTTTATTCTTTCACTGTGATTTTCAAATACAGATTACCTAATAGTTTGCACGTTAAAAAATACTTGCCAAGAAATAGATCTGTAATAAAAACTTGTCATTTTGTACTAGTAATCTTTCTTTTCATCTCATGTCACATGACTGCAATCCAGATTATAGGAAAAATTCCTTATTTTCTGAAAATGTGACATTTCCACAGTTAATGCTTAAATGCTTAAAGATATAGAAATCACATATTTGTGATTTCTCATTTTTCTTCTACACCACGGATAAGCACAGTGTGCTTTGCAAAGAAGACGCAGCTGATGAGTGGGATGATCAGGAACAGTATTGTGGGATTATGTTTTTGTTCACCCTACTTACATCATTGAGTTATAGGATGTGTGGGAGCCAAGAGGGGCTCACATGAGAATGAAAGTGTAGGGAATCCCCCTTCCCTAACATTTAAGGAGTCGAATCTGACTCCAGCAAGCAGCAAGTTAAAAATCTTAACTTTACACTGGACAGTGAGGAGGTAGAATAGTCATCCATAATCACCTTAAAATTCTGCTTTAAAAGGTAGAATTTGGCTGCTTTCCCCTTGCCTGGCCTGTGTGGGGTCCCCTGGGGGGCAGTGGAGCTGTGGGGTTGCTGTGAGCTGATTTCTGATTTCCCTCTCAGACTCGGGAGCAGGAGGAGCTGGAGGAGGCTCTGGAGGTAGAGCGGCAGGAGAGCGAACAAAGGCGGCTGTTCATGCAGAAGGAAGAACAGCTACAGCAGATGATAAAAAGGAAGAAGAAACAGGAACTCCTGGATGATCTGGTGAGTAACAAAAGCAGAGACTTTGAAAGTTCAGTAGCATTGACATCCATCTCTATCACTGTGTGGAATTAACAGATCTATCCTGTTTCCCTGTTTTGTGTGTTCTGTGTTTCCATTCTCTCACCTGTTATTTATTTCAATGATGCAAACCATTCTGGTTTTTGGTAAGCTAGGGGCTGGATGAAGACTACTTCTGGGATTTGGAGCTCAACTCTACCACTGTTGGCTTGTTCAGCAGTTCTGAGTAGTGGCTGAGAGTCTGGTGTGTGGAAGCAAAAAGGTCATCAGGAGGTGCTTCTTGACTCAGCCACCTCTGCAGTGGAGATGGTGGAGAGCAGGGGACAGGAACCTCAGGAGTTATCCAAGCATTGCTCAGCCCTTTCTCAGTCAGAGCACCTAAATGATTGGTGGTCCCTTTGTATGCAAAAACTACTACAATGAGAAGTTTTCTGCCTTGAGTGTGTCCTGTTCTCTTACTGCCACTTCTCCTGTACAAGTTGTTCTTTTTGAAGTGACTGAAGCTTTGTATAGACAAACAGAGGAAAACTCAGGCTGCTTTTGGAAATCATGGTAATCTTGATTAATTTACTGATTCTGCATCTGAAATGCAATCATGTGAGGGCATAGAGAAACTCACTAAATGTGTTACTTAAGGTTCACATCTCAGTTTTTTCAATACAAGAGTGTGTACAGATATTCACGGGTTTAACACCCATGAGGACAGTCTGTGTACACACAGCCTGTGTGTAACCTTGAGGGAAATCAGAAAAAAGAAGTATCTATGCATGCATACTTGTGTTCAGCTGTGTCAGTGTGGTTTAAAGCTGCTTGGCATATCCAAATGATATTTTCTCTCTTATATCAGTGCATCTCATACTAATACACTGTTAATTCCTGCTTTGTAGTCTCAGTTCTTATTCATGATACAGATGCTTTTCTACCTTTCCTGAAAAAGCAGAGTTCCTCTTTGAGCCAGGGCAGCAGGCAGTGACATGGAGAGAGGATCTAAGTGAAATTTAGGAGTTTCAGGGCCTCCTGAAGAGATAGATGGCTTTCTTCAAGCCAGGATTCCTGGCAACCTGTTACTGGTTTTCCTTTTGTAGGCAAAAGCAGAGATGAGCAGAAAGAGTCTTTCAAAAAAATGTCAAGCCTGTATCTTTACATCCTATTTTCACTTTAAAGGTAAATGCTTTTACAGTCCACACAATTAGGAATAGTGGATAAATTAATAAAAACTCCACTATGAATTTGAATTTAATTTCTCAGAATATGGATTTTGAGTTTCTAAATTTTTAAAACCCTGATCTAAAACACACTCCTAACTGACTAGAGACCAGTGGTTGATGTGTGGTTATTTGTTTAATTTTTTTTTTTTTTTACACAGCGTTTGGTTTTACTGGAAATCTTCACCAGGTGGCTTGCAGAAAGAATAGCTATAAATAACCCTTAAAACATGACTAAAATGAGTAGTTTTAACTGTGATTGCGTATGTATTGCTATTAAAATATATTTTAATATTCTAAAAACAATATAAAGATAATTTTTAAAGGCTGAGGGAGGAAACTGGACAGTTTCAAGTTGTGTTTCTGTTTCTGAAGGGGCAGTGTCAACTTAAATTTGAGCCAAAACTTGTTTTGTAGTATTACTAAGGTTTATAAAACCAGCACTGAAGTGTTTGTGTAATGACTTACAAAGTCTCTGAAAAACCGGTGGTTGTTAAAGAAATAAACTTTTCCGGTGGTCTCTGAAGTCCCTCTAATGCTGTGCTGCAAATCTGAAAATGAAACTGATCATGAGTAAAACTTAATCGAGAAAAGCCAAGCATATGCAGCAGCAGTGTAAAGAATTAACTTAAAAAATAATCCTATATCTGTGGTTGCTGGTTCTGTGCTAAGCCAAAAAGGATTAATTTCTGGCTACAGAGATACCAGTGGTAACACCACTGACTCTGCAGGATTGTGAGAGTAGAGGAAAGTGGGAATCTGACATTGGTTTTGAGTCTTCTCCTTTGGACAGATCACCTGATCTGTCAGCCTGCAGCCCAGACCTCCTGGATCTTGGCAATTTTTTTTCCAAAGGTTGCCCCTGCCACTGGGCCACAAAAAAAATAATTAAGACACATTTTTTTGTTTTGTACAAGTAGAGATGTCAGGTATTTTCCCTGTCAAGAAATTAATTTTACCTTTAGTACTGAAATCTTATGAAGCTGCAGATCTCATGGAATCCTAGAAATGCTTGGGTTGGAGGGGTCCTTAGAGACCATTGAATTCCAGCCCCCTGCCATGGAGAGGGAAAACTTCCACTAAAGCAGATTGCTCAGAGCCCCATCCAACCTGGCCTTGAACGTTCACAGTGTTGGGGCATCCACAGCTTCTCTGGGCAGCCTGTGCCAGGGCCTCACCACCCTCTGTAAAGAATTTCTTCCAGTGTCTGATCTAACCCTGCCCTCTGTCAGTTTGAAGCCATTCCCCTTGTCCTGTCACTCCAGGCTGTTGTAGAGAGTCTCTCTCCATCTCTTCTGTCAGCTCCCTTCAGGAACTGGAAAGCCACAATTTGGTCGCCCCAAAGCCTTCCATTTTCAGGCTGAGCAATCCCAGTGCCCTCATCCTTTCCTCATGGGAGAGGTGCTCCTTCCCTCTGATTATCTTGGTGGTCCGAGTCATTAGATGTGTTACTTATGGTGGTTTCATATGGAGCAAAGGTCTCAATTGTGTGCAGAAGTGTTGGAGAATGCTGTACCATCTTCAAAGAGCTGATAATTTAGGTAGTCCAGAGGCACAGAAACATGTTTGGTATTCTAAATGTTGTGCAGTGGGCCCTGGTTTCTGGCCAGCCTGGGAAGTGCAGGGGCTCCTGCAGAAAGGACTGGACCTGGGCCAAGGCTCCATGAACCCATCCTTGGCTGGGAACAGGGAGGGAAAGGCCAGTGTGAAGTGCTGGGGATATCAGCAAGGGATCAGGGGGACTCAGGCTCTGCAGGCCACTGGAAAAGCAGTTTGGTCCTTTTTGCCTCTCTGTATTAATTAGGCAATTTCTGTGTTACCTTCTTTGTAAGTCACTTCTTTTACAACAGAACCTCTCACTTTAAAAGCACAATACCCTGTTGTGATTTAGACTTGCAGTCTCAAATGCATTTTATGCATCACTGGGAGAGCTATATGAGTGTTTTATTTTGGGTTGTTGTTTGTTTGGGGATATTTTTTTTAACCTTGGATAATCCAGGCTGAGTAAAATATTAAAACCCTTTCTTTATGTGCTCTACAAACTCTCACATGTACACAGAGGATTCTAATGTGATCTCTTGTGTCTCATGGGACTTGCACTTTCCTCTTCAACAGCCCATAATTCCCAGGCATGAGCACAATGGGACTGCAGCACATGGCAGAGGAGCAGGTTTTCCCTGGACTGTGGCATAGCTTGGAGCCAGGCAAAGGCGTTAAAGACGTCAAATCCACACTTTCACCAGAAGCTCAAGAGTTTTGAGACAAATCTTCCAGAAATTGTTGTGTAGAACCAGCTTTGTTCATAGTGTAGACAGTTTGTTTTCCCATACAGAAAATTGCTGGTATGGATAAACACAGGGTTGGAACTTCCACGTGTGTTAATAGTTAACAGAAGGGCTCTGGGCATATTCAAAAGGACAAACAATCAGGATGTGGTGACTTGCTGGCACACTGTGGATTTCCCACAGTTGTGTAATCTGGTTACTGGTCATTGTGTGAACTCCTGAGAAGTTGGTTAAAAATTGGCTTCCTTGAATCATTTTATTGGAAATGCAGTGAGTGTTTAAGGAATATGAAAGACAAAATGAACAGGAGACTGTTTTCCACTCTTCCCTTCTCCCCCAACATGTTAAATCTGGTCATTGAAAGAGTTCAACATCTTTAACCTCTGCTGACAGCACATGCTGTTGCATGCAGGTTAGAGATGTACAACAGTTGAAAGAAGCACTAAATAGTGTTTCTAGAAGACTCTAAACTAGTGCATTTGTGGTCCAAATTTTCTCCCAGTTGTACAGAAATTAGATGTCTCTGCAATTTAGATTTTTAGCATCTTCCCTCCCCTCTTCCCAGCTGATCACAGAAATGCGAGTAGGAAGCTGTGCCTTAGATGTTGCATTTGTGATTCTGGACCAGATCTTGTCTTCTGAAATTTTTCTGCTTTTATCTTGCATTCTAGTGGTAAGGCAAAGGGAATGTAATAATATATAGAGAAGGAAAAAGACTGGAGAGTAATGTGAAAAGTCAGTGTACAACGTGACTGTTCTTCATGATCAGTTCAGAGGATTTCTCTAGGTACCATCAAAACAATAAGGCATCTTTGGCATTAAAAATATCCAACTACTTACCTTGAACTGAATAATTAAAAAATCACAGTCCTGTTAATAAAATCTGTTTGGTTTTCTGAGTAACAAATGTGGTTCATAGTTCAATATTTGCTTGGCTCTTTGAAACAGAAGTAAATGTGATGTGTGAGGGCCTTAGGAATAAAATCCTGTGCTAGAGCAGTCCAGGAAGAATCTGTCTGAACTTCTTCCCTGCTCTCAACTTCATGGTAATTCTAGCCAGGAATTCTCAAGGATTTCTGTGTGCATGTACATAGTCACATTAGTCTCTTAGAAAATTACTTAGCCAATAATTTCCCGATCTCTCAAAAATGCACTTCCATATATGTATGCTAATAATCATTCTGTCCTGACAGTTTAAGTAATTCATTTGCTTAACTATTCATTTTACTACTTTTTTTATATACATACATATATATAAATATATATATTTAAAAATTGGCTGGCTTCCCTAAAAATAAGTTGCTGAAGGAGAAAATAAATATGCTGTTGGTTGTACTTACAATAGTGCCATTGTGCAGAGCAGAGCAAGGATCATTTCCAAACGGCCTCAGGTGAAATCTAATGGGAAACAATTTCAAACTGGTCTGAGTTCATTGGGAGAAAGAATGTGTCTTAGATAAACATCTGATCCAAGTTATACTACTCAGTATTATTCCTTCTCTGATTAAGTTCTAATTTTTTTTTTAAATTTTAATAAATATTGTTGCATTGGCCAGTTGGAATAAGGAGCCTGTTATATTGTCTTTAATGTGGATTCTATAAAAATGGTTGTTTGCAGGTTACTCTGATTTATGGAGTTGCTGCAGCTTTTTCTTATTACTGAAAATGTTCGTTTTCTGTAAACTGTTTCTGAGGGAGAGGATACTTGGCATTCTGCTGTTCTCCTAGTGATGGCCTTGCAGTCACAGCTTGCAGTTTGGAAGAATGTGCAGTGTTAATTAATATTTGTTTTGGTCTAGGACTCAAATTTATTCCTCATATGTTTACAGGAGAGCTCTGATCTTCCTGCCTCTCTGCTCTTAGCTCAGCATAAGGACAGATCTACTCAGCTAGAAATGCAGCTGGAAAAACCCAAACCTGTCAAGCCAGTCACATTTTCCACTGGCATCAAAATGGTAAGATTTGCTTGTTTGGTTTTTTTTAATGCCTTTCAGAAGATCAAGGATATTTCCTCATATGAATTCAGAGGTCACTTAAACCTGAGTTGCATGTTACATGAAATAGACTGTTCTCTTCCAATTAAATAAGTAATTAGGAATTACTTGAAGAATTTCATCATTCTGCTAGTTGGAATATTGTGATGATCCACCCCAGAAGGGTCATCACAAATATATGGAACATTTTCATTGTGTAGTTGTCAAAAAACAAACTGTACCTCTCTCCCTGTGAAGTTGTGGTGTCATTGAATTATTTTTCTTGTTTGTGTACCAATTCTGGACGTTGAAAATTTTGAAGTTCAAGAATCATCTCACTTTCTTCAGATTTATTTTGAGCACTGGAGTAATCTGTGAGTATGAGACTGACGATCTAGGAAATTATGCCAAGGTTAAGGACTCTATTTTCATTGTTATTTGGCTCTAGGAAACAACAAGCATTTTTCAAATGTGTCACCTTAGGGTGGCAGCTGAAGATCTCTCAGCATTCCTGTTCTGTGTCATGACATGGCCCAAGCACACACCAGCCTGTGTACATAAATGTACAGCTGGGGGTGGGAGCACGAGTGACTGGTCTTTTCTGCACCTTGCTGGTTTTCTGCTTTGTATTATTTTAAATCTCTTTTTAGACTTTTTTAAAATCTACTTCTTCTAGACTTTGTATTTTAGAATTGATAATGGTAAACTGAATGTCTTAAAAATAGCTAACACTCTCTACTCTCCTCAACAAACCAAGAAGTCAGCAAAGCAAAAATCTGTACATCAAACTAGTTTCCTAACAGTAATCAATTTGTTTTTGCCATGAATATTTGTGCTGTGTTCATTATATGTTAAAGTGTTCACAATATGGAAGCATTTGCAGCTTATTTTTCCAAAAGCAGTGTCAGTTTTTGCAATGCTGTGCAGATTGTTTTCTTGTTTTCCTGTGGTGTAAATTGATCTTCTTCCTATTTCTTTTAAAACTAACAGTTTAGGGGAGATTAATATGCTTTGTGAGAAATTTTGTCTGTGTAGAAAAGCTAGTGGACAGAAAATGCCTGTTGTTCTGTTTAAAAAATACTCTGTCTGAATGGCTGTTCTTTTTCTTGCTGTTAAAATATATTGTCAGAATTTCTTAAAGCTGTGTCTTTTCTGTGGTCAAAGGAAGAAGATCAGGTTATGTGATGAGGACAGTGGAAGTATTTTCTAAGTTGTTTCAAAATTAATATTAAATGCAGTATGTGGTAGTGGACATTTGAGATCTGCAGCCCTAAGTAAATTTCATCCAGGAATGATGAAAGACTTGGCTGAAGAGATTTCCAGCAGCAGGACATTTAAATACTAATGTTTGGAATGATAGGGGATATGCCAGATAACTAATTGCTAATTCATCAGTGTTCAGAAAATGTGAATAGATAAATAATTTAATTTGTTCAATCTCAGGAAACAGAAATTTCCTCACCCTGACTGACCTGAGTCCTAAATTGAAAAAGAACAGTTTATTTGTACTTATTTCTATTAATGTTTTTTAACAGTAAAGTTAATGATAGAAGCATTTGAAGTTGGTGACTACTACTTATGGAAAATGGATTGCATTAAAAAAATTACACCAACAAAATTACAGGTTTTGCTTAGAAAGATGATTGTTTCCTTATTTTCTTTACAGGTGTTTGATTTATTTATTACATGACATTATAAAACTACAAATTCTAGTACACTAGTAGCAATATTGATACTCTGCACAATAAATGAAGGAAGTGTCTGACTTTGTAATTTCTGAAGAAGTTGGTTCCACAGCCTGGGAATGTTTATGTGGGTGTTCTGCTAGGAGGCAGCTCAGTGCTTGGAAGCAGATGTTGAATTTCTGTGGATGATGTGCAAACTGGCAGTTTACAGGGTCACTTTGACAAACTGGCCTCATTTGAATGAAATGTGTTTTAGTAAGGTTAAATGCAAAATGAGAAATAGAAGAGTAAATAACAGGCTCTGGGAAGAGGATTTGGAAGTTCAGCTAAGCAAAACCAGTTTGACCCTCAGCCACAGCATGTGTGGGGGGCCTTGGGTATGTGAATAGCCCAGCAATAAACAGGAAAGGACTTCTCCTCCTGAATGCAATATTGGGAAGAGTTGTGGGCTCCAGAGTTCTGCTGGCTGCATCTTGAGTGCAAAAATCAGAAAGAACGTGAATAGGAGCCACAAAAGTCCATTCAAAGGCAGAAAGATCTGCTCTGTGTGCTGCATTCTGCCTCTGGTTGAGGAGATGGTTCAGGTATGACTCAATTTACAATAAGTGCCTCCTTAGCACAGAGCATGCCAGGTCTGAGCAGTGCAGCATTAAATGTAGCAAGAACCAGTAACCTTAAACAAACACCATGTAAATAGGAACTGAAGGAAGGAATAAGACCTAAAGTTCACACAATGTTCTGCTGGTTAATTGGCCTCACTGTTGAAATTGGCTCTGGAATGCAAGGAAATCTCAAATTCTTGATGTTTTCAGATTAGGATTGGGGTGCATCTTGGAAAGTTACTGTAGTTATCAAGTGCAAGTTTGCTGGCTTTGGAGCAGGGTTAGTTTTGTGAAAAGCAGTTCTGCTCGTTGCACATGATCCATGAAGGTGGGTTCTAGTGACAGTGTAAGGTGAATTCCCACCTGGCACTCACCTTAGGACATGCTTGTTTGCCAGGCTGAGTGTTTTCCTAAGAACCTGAGATGCTCAGTCCACTCCTTTTGCGTAGGTGTCCACGTGAAGTGGGTGGAGCTTTTCTTGTGCTCTTTGTAGCTGCTTTGGCTTTGTTCCCCTCTAAACCATGGGGTTCACACCACTCCTATTGGTGGGGGAGCTGGAGGGAGTACTGAGAATTTCTTAAGAAATGCAATTCTAATTAGTGCTCTGGCACAACAGTTCTGCAAATTCAGTACATTTGTGTGAAAAATCTGCTTTGTGCCCACTGTCAGAGGCTTAGCAGTGCACATTTAATTAATCACTGTGTATGTCCTTCCCCTGGGCTTTTATTTTTTCCTAATAGTTTGGCTACTGACCTTTTCTGATGGGTGTTTTCCTCTAATTTTGTTTCAAAAGAAGGGAAGCCAGAGCTGGCTGAGCTGATCTGATCTGGAGCTGGTGTTTACACAAAGGGTATGAAAATATGCCACTTGTGGCAATCCACTGGGTTTTTTTTCAGCTTGAACAGAAGTGTTTTTTCCTTGGTCAGAGATGTTCTTCTGCCTGACTGCTAATCAGACATGTTTCTTGGTGTCTGAGTTAGGAGCATGTCCATTCTAGTCTCCTGGGCAATGCTCAAGGAAGTTGGCTCATTTAAGGTGTCATGTTAGTGCTGTGGGTTCCTCTGCTTGCAGGGGGAGGAGGGAATGTCTTCTGAGCTAAGCAAGAGCATCCCCTATAGCATGAGACAGACAAATAGCTCATGGGGACAGGGTCTCCTTCACTTTTCCTTTTGTGAAATTCCTTTTTTCTTTTTCCTCCTTTCAAGTGGAAGCAGTTTTTCCTCTGTAGTCTGCTCTTCAACTTCTTCAGTAAATTCTATCCTCTGTGCACAAAGCTTACATTCCAAATCAATCAGTTTGATTTACCTCTTTGAGTAGGGGGAGACAGTGCTGCCAGGCTTTTTTCCTTATCATGTTTATCATATTAAGAAATATACTTTCAGCACATCTGAATATTTTAAAACAGTCTTATTAAAGCCAATCTCAAATCAGGGTAAAGATGATTGAAACAGAAAAAAAATCTTAATTGCTGCAATAGTGGTAAAAATGAGATTTCCTGTCAATTGTGATAGTTCAGACTTAAGCAGCTGTCAAAAAGAGTACAGTTTGTCTGAAAAGAATGATGTTTCCAGCATTTCTAGGGCTTGTCAGAAGGTGCAAAACAAGGTCTGGCAAGAGAACCATTCTTCTGTTTTTTGCTGAATGTAATGACTATTTCTAGTTAGGTAGCTTTAATGTGGAGCTCATTTGAAGGTGTAAGAGAGATGCTCATATGTATTGCAGACAAATGGCAGTTTGCAAATGCAACAGGAATTGTGTTAACATGAATTTAGTTTCATTCTTACGTCTCTAGTGTTTACAGAACTGTAGAAGGCTTTTCTAGATCTGTGCTTTACCTCACCATTGTGGTTAAAAATGCATAGAAATGTGGATGTATTTAACTCCTCCTTAATTCATTGAACCGGGAGCACAGAACCTTTGAATCCGTGGCCCAGCTGTTTCCATGTTTGTAGAAAATCTGGGTGCCTTAGACTGGCTCAGCTCATGCCATCTCCAGCACATTTCAGGCTGTGTGTCTGTCCCTTTTCTGTTCCTTCCAGTTTCTTTCCTCCCTTTCCCCAGCCTCCCAGGACACTTAGCCTCTAGTGATGGTATTCTTGGAGTAATCTCATGCAGTTAAAAACTCAATTGCCTCTAATTGGATTGCCCAAAAATGCTGGAAAACAACATAGGTGCCCCCTGGATTGCTCCTGCTTGGGAGAATTTGCCTTCTGGCATTTTATATCAAATAGCTCAGAATTAATGTAATGCATCATTGACCTTCTAATTCTTATCATCATTTTTGTTTTATTACTTAATAGCAGTGGGAATATCTATTAATAGAACTATTAGTGTAGAGTGTTCTACGTGCTTGATCATTACCAAGATGGTCCCTACCCCAGTGAATTTGCAGTTTAAATAGATGTGTCAGGGAGGGAGGGGAAGCAGATGCCCGGAGGGGATGTTCTCACCCAGGATTAGCCAGCAGAGCAGTGGAGGAAGAAGGAATAGGATCCAGCCCTACTGAATTCCTAACCCCTGGCTCTTCCGCTGAGCCGGGCTCCATCTCCTGTCAACAGCACCCCTGAATGGCAGCGAATTAAGAGTGAAATATCTGCTCCAGCTCCTGCTTCCCTGTCCAAATCACAGCAGCGGTGTTAAATATAACTTTGTGGCTCTGAATATTGCCCAGATTTATTCCAGTTCTTGCAGTTTC